CTGGTCCTGCAATCTGAGGAGGGCAGGCTCTCCTGGCAAGGCTGCAGCTAATAGCAAATGCAGGAAGGTGATGAAACTCCCGGGTCCTCTGTCCCCAAACAGATACTTCTCTCCTCGACGTGGACCAAGCCTCACCTCTAAAAACCATTTTCTCCTCAGTCCCAATGAAAAGTAAAACCCAACAGGGCATTGGTCCATCTGCTGCCATCTTGGGCTCCCTTTTCTGCTGACCAATTCACGTGCACGGTATAAATGCTTGTTTTTCCAAGCCAAAAATCAAACATAAAAACCAAAACCCCAAACAAACCATCAGCTTGGAAATTTCTGTGGATGAAATGTCCCAAAGTCAGAGGCACTCTCCCGGCACAATCCCTGCTCTTGAAGGGGTCTCTCCACCGCCCCTTATAAAAAGACAACAGAACTTAATCTTCAGTATTTTCCACAGGAGCAACCGAGGGGGGGGGGGAAAGGCAGGAAGCTTCCAATTATAGGTCATTAACAATAATATTAATAAGGTTTTGCTCAATACCCAGGGTTCTTTACAGATAAATTCCCATAACTGAGGCACTCTGGAATAAGTCACTGGCATTTTCCTCAATGTTTCAGCCCCAGACTGCTGGGACCTGGAGACCAATGAAGGGGCAAAGGGTCACGGGAGCAGACTGCTGTTTTTAAGGTGCAGTCAAAAGAATCAGCAGATTGGAAGAAACAGATACAGTGCCACCCCCTACCAGGACTGTTTCCTCTAAGAAGGCTGGTTAATGCCAGGGTCAAAGCTGGGGTAGGTGGCAAAGAGGGGGGCCCTCTGCCTCTATTGCTTTGGCAGTGGCAAGGGTGCAGTTGACATCTCTCCTTAGGGTGGCTCGTATTTCAAAGCCCTGGTGCCTGGCTCAGTCCCCTCCTCATTGCAGGTTTAAGAGGAGGAAAGCCTGAGATTGGGCTATAGAAAAGGGACTGGAAGGGATGAGGCTGGAGAACAAGAAGGCGGGACAAGGTTGTGCTATCAATCTCCTTAAAGATGGGGAGCAGAGTGCAAATTTGCGTCTATCACTTAGAAGCTCTTGCCACAGGCTGCTATTGAGCATCTCCTCACACACTTAAATATTGACCCGAAGAAATTCCAACCTTTCCTCTTTTTTTTTTTTTTTTTTTTTTAAAGTGCAAAAAGCTCTCTGCTGCCCTAGAGAGAGGATCTTTGGACAGACCGTTCAATGCAAAGTAAAAGGGGCAGCTGATGGGGCTTGACATAGGGTGGTGGAGTGGGAGACACACTCCCCTCCCTTCCTCTACACACACACACACACACACACACACACACACACACACACACACACAGCATACTCAGCCACACACACAGAGGCACATGCACACCCCCTTTCCACGGCTTTGGGCAGAGGGCTGGTGACTGGCTTTGAAGAAGGAACCCCTGACCCTTAAGAGGCACCAGGTCAGTGAGCTGCTGGGGCAATGCACAGGCCTGGGCTTTTGGGGGCCATACTAAACCAGAGGCCTGGAGGCAGGTGGGGATTCCGCCAGTCTTGTGCTCCCCTCACCTGGCGGGGGAGAAAGGCTGCTCCCTCTGAGGACACGCATCCTGGGAAAGCCCTATGCAGGCAGGAAGGCGGACACATGGAAAAGGGCAGTCAGTGGGAGGCAAGAGAGGGAAAATGAGATGGTGCCTGTCTCAGAATCTGCCTGGGTAGCAGTGAAATGAGGGTGTCCCTGGGGTACAGTTCCAGCTCCTCTGAAGGGCATCAACCCCAATAAGTGCAACAAGGACCTCAGAGAAACTATTGGGAAAGTCAGGGGCTGGATGGAAGGATGGGGGTACACTGTATTACATAAATGAGCACAAATGCTGGACAGCATCAAGTCCACGGAGAGGAAAGGCGGGCGAGCACAGATGTGGGCACAAGGTTTCAGACATCAACAGCACCAGTGGGATCTGCTGGGCCTGGCATTCCTGGGGCTGCTGGCCCCTCCTGCAGAAGCCGGGAGAGAGTGACAGAGGAGAGACATGCACTGGACACCACAAGGAGAACCTGGCCATGGAGGCAGGACTGCTTTCTTCCCTGGAGTCTGGTCTGAACCAGGCACTGCTGGGGCCACAGGTGGGGAAGAGGGGCCCAGGGCCGCGTGCAGGTGAAGGCTGCATGAATCCTCCAAATGGAGAGCCCAGTCTCCTGGCAGGTGAGCAAGTGAACAGGCACCGCAACAGCACAGCCTGTGCTTTCCTTCCCCTCACATTAGCTGCTACTCCCTTTTCCTTGGGAGGGAGAGGAGCAGGGACATAAGCCTGGTGTTGTCCACCCTCTCTACCCCACCTGTGAGAGAAGAGCTCAGGGACAGAAGAGCAGAGAGGGTGTGTGATGCTGGCCTCAGAGCCCGTGCAGGGTCAGGGAGAGGCTCTCCTCAGTGGGGAAGGCTAGGGAAGATCCATTTCCTGTTCAGTTCAGGCTGGGCGTGTCTTAGCTAATCTTCTGTATCAGCTTCTCATCAGACAGGCAGTAGAGGCTGTTGATGGACAAGTCTGAGATGAAGTGCTCACAGGCTTTTCGAGTGATCTGCTTGCATCCTCGAAGGTCAATCAGGGTGACATTGGCAATGCGCCGTAGGTAAATCAGGGTCTGGTCTGTCAGTTTATTGCAACCTGTAGGCAAAGTGGCCATGAACTCAGAGGTTACAAACACAATGCCACAGATGCTCACCCCTACCATTCGGTCTCCCAGCCATTCTTCCCCAAAATACTAAATAAAAATACGTAGTCCCATGACTACTTGCCTCAGAGACTAGACCCTCTTGTTGCCTCACTCCTGGCACTATGGATATCAAACATAAGAGCTGACCAAACTGCAGCTGGACGGTAGCCATGCATGATGGCATTTAATTTTAGTTCTTACCCTCCTACCCCCAGTAGTTAAAATGAGTAGAAATGGCTCGATCAACTGATCCAAATTCTTTTTTTTTTCTCTGATAAAAGTTCTAGGAAGAGCTGGGACCTCCATGAGGCAGGGGTACTCTTTAGCATAGAAAACAATAGCAGCATACCTGCCATATTGAGCTCTGTGAGGGAGTAACGAGTGGAAGACCCAACAGCAGTGAGCAGATTGGAGGACTGATCTGTAAGGTGGCTGCAGTGACTGAGGTCAAGTCGAGACAGGAGGGGCATGTGGCGAATGATGAGGCGAAGTGTGGCATCTGTGATGTCAAGGCCTGCCAGCCGGAAGTCAGTCATGTTCCGGAGCTTGCTGCGATTGTCCTGACCTGCATAAACAAGAAAAAAGCATAGACCAAAACTTAATTTTCTAATATAGCTCCAAAGCTCCAGGCAGCATCATTACCTGCTGGCCAAGCCCCTTTGATGAGGCTTAGGAGAAAACTGCCCATGCCCAATCCTGCCTTCTAGGTATAAGCAGCATGTGGGGGCAGTTTCTAGGAAACAAGACAAGTCCTTCTTCCCAGAGCCAGATTATGCCTCTTGTTACATGGGTATGTATGGAATGCTCCTCCCCTACCCACAGCTCCATGTTTTTCTAGACTATCCTGGCAATAGCTTTTTTTTTTTTTTTTGTGGAACTGGGGATTGAACTCAGGCCCTTGCGCTTGCCAGAGAAGTGCTTATTCCACTGAGCCATCTCCCCGGCCCCTGGCAATAGCTTTTGACATTCCATCTCAACCAAGAAACATTTTGAGCCTTCCTCTCCGAGCCCCAAACTCTGTGACCCAAACTCCATGGCCCACAGAATGGACTCACTTCAGTTGTAGGTAATTATCTGCTTATAAACAGTGAAGTTTTATTGTGATATTCTCATTTTATTTTATTTTTTGCGTAACCGGGGATTGAACTCAGACCCTCGCACTTGCCAGGGAAGCACTTATCTTACTGAGCCATCTCCCGGTCCTGCTTCATTTTATTTTTTCGAGCTATTCTCATTTTATACCCTTTCACAACTTCAATTCTGAGATTACCTCAGCTTTTGAGGATGATCAGATCTGTGGAAAGCCAAAACTACCTGAAGACAAGCACCAAGAAGTAAGGCCCAGAACATACCTGGCTTATCAGCTGAGGGAGTCAGCAAGTCTCGAATTTGAGGGTCTTTAATTCCTACTGCCCACCGAAGATCAAGGGTCCTGAGAAGGGGGCAGCTGGAGGTGCTAAGGGCAGAGACTGCAGACCAGGAACAGCCTGCTAGGAGGAGGTCTTTTAGTCCTGCAATGAATGGAAATATGAGACAAGCAATGTCATCTATTAGCCCATTCAAAGTCTCAATTATCAGCTAACTAGAACAAAGTGAATGGATTTTTCAAGCTAATGGGCTAAAACTATGTCCTTCTAATAATCAAGTTCAAAGATTTCTATGATACCCTATGTTATATTTAGCTCTGTTGTTAAAACTGATTGCTTAGCTCCTACCAGAGCAATGTGGGAGTGACTTCTTCCTGTCTTTGTAAGACCTCAAAAAATGTCCAGTGGCTTACAAGGTGCTGATCATAGTATACCTGACTCTAGTTTCCCCTTCAGTGGCTGTGCTGAGGAGACCTGCAGGGTTTACAGCAGCACCTAATCCCATTCTTTACAGTCTAATGCAGTCACTGATCCAGTAATGGTCCCAGAGAAATCTGCTGGTAGGCAGAAAGGCAACGTGGCTTGGGACTGCTGACCTAAATGGTCCTAAAGCAATTCTAAGAAGCACTGTCAACAGCACAGCTTACTTACCTGGCAGCCTATTGACCAGCCATGTGAGCTGCTTCTTGGAGATGTTGGTCCAACTGAGGTCGAGACTAACTGGCTGTCTCTTGATGATACCACTGAGTGCCTGGGGTACAATGGCCTTACACCTACTCAAATCAATTTTTGTCCAAAGTCTCTTGTCACAGCACCTAACAGAAGGGAAGAGAACTAGCTGTCAGTAACTTGATATCCCTTTCAATGGAGCTCTTGACACAGACTTTTGGAGGCTTTTAGAAAAAAACAACACTTAAGGGTCACTTCCCTACATTCTTCTTTAGGAGTAACAGGGATCATACCCTGGGATTTTGTGCCTCAGTATTGACAAAAGCTCTTGTCCTACAGCAACTAAACACTTTACAAACCTGTATGTTATGTAGAGTAGAACTTAACAGTTCACACTGACTTCCTCAGAAGGGGTTGGAAACAGCACAAGTGCTAGCGACATGCTATATATAACCTCTTCAATTACATTAAGCAGTATAGATCTTACTGAAAGGTATATAAGGGGAAATTTTCAAATTTCTTGACTTCATACTGTCTGAAGGTACTTAATTTGTTCCACTTTTTTTTTTTCCAGAACCAGGGATCAAACTCAGGCCCTTGTGCTTGCCAGGAAGTGCTTATTCTACTGAGCTATCTCCCTGGCCCACCACTCTTTCTTGAGTAACCAATGACTGCCCAAGATGCAGGGTTCTACTCTATACCCCCACAATATGCCCCACTTTAAGCTAATTACTGCTTAGGGCCCAAGCAGGTTCCTTATCAGGTCTTGAGCTTTCCCTTACCCTTCAGTTTGTGTCAGTGCTAACTTGACATTTTCTAGCCAGTTCAGTCCAGAAATGAAAGGGACAGCCTGCCTTCCCACTGCAATCTACAAATCCACATGTTACAAACTACACTGTGCCATGCAGGCTTTCATTTAGTGTTTTACAGTTCCTCCCCTGAGGCCAGCTCACAGTCTGGCTGGGGTGGGGAAACAGCACATAAGGGGTGTCTTATGTGTCCTAACCTGGGAACTTAGGGGTTTTGCCAGGGAGGCCCACTAACTATAAAGAAAAATACTAAGAGAATCCAGGTTCATCACACATTAATTCTGACTTGGGAAATAAACATGTACTGGTAGAAAATAGGTCTTTAAAGACAAAATTTCACCAGTGACACATCAAACTTCTATGGCAAGAGCAAACTGCTGACTAGAGTAAAGAACAGGAGGGGTGTACAAACTTGAACAGTCTCCTGGAGGCCTCTCAAGAGCACACTGTTAGACCTGTGCCACAGAATCTGCAATTTTTCTGACGGGGTGGTGATGGTGGACATGACTGATAAGTGAACGCAGGGCTTTTACACTGAGCTACATCTCCAGCCCTTTTGAGAAAGATCTAAATTGTTATACTGCAGGCTGGGCTTAGACTTGTAATCTGTTTTAGTCTCCTTCAGCGCTGGGATTCTAGGTATGCGATACCATGCAGGTTCAGAATTTGCATTTTCAATCAGTACACAGGGAAATGCCCATGGCAGGATGCTACATGTTGAGCACTGTAACAGGGTGTGACCCAGATATAAGGGATATATCCTAGAGTTTAAGGTAGAACCCACAATGTCCAACAGAAAGCTTTGTTCATAACCAATATGGATTTTCCCCCTTAAATGTCTGTTCAACTTGAGAAATAACTGATTTCATGAACAAGGACAAATAAGTCTTAGAAAGCTTTACAAGTGATGGTGTGAGGAATCCTGGTTCAGGTTGGAGGTGCTGAGAATTAAAAATTGTTTAAGATTCTAAACTTCTCAAATTCACTTTGGAAAGCATGCTTATTTCTCGGATGATTTTTAGGTGTAGCCATCTCTGTCAGCAAAACTGTAAGATGACTAGCATACCAGAGACTCAACTACCAGCATATGAGTTGTAAAGACTTCCAGCCTATAAGACTGAGGATTTAGTATAGTGTAACAATCTACCTCCCAAATCAGATCCCTTTCCCAAGCAAAGAGAGTTGCGGAACATAGCAGGGAGATGAGGCAAAGGGTCAAAGTCTCCTAACGACTTCTACAGACACAAGGGGCCCTATCTTTAACAGAACCTGAAAACAAATGGAGTCCACTGATTCCCTTACAGATCCTAGAAGAGAAGCCTTAAAATGCTAAGGTGTATTCTATTCTTATACACAAGACCTGCCACCTACTCCCACTCCCCTATTCTTGACCCCCTGTATCCCTGCTCACCATTTATACCATGTCTTGCACACTCGCATACATTCACAAAGTTCTCTGCGGCTGAGGTAGCGGAAGACAGACATCCAGACCTCCCGCTGCATCCAGCTTTCGTCTCCATCCTGAGCCCAACTGCCCCGGCCATTCAGCCTGGCTGCACCCCCCTCCTCTGCACTGTCATCTTCCTCCTCCTCCTCCTCCTCTTCCTCCTCCTCTCCCCCCAGCCCCTCCTCATCCCCACGCTGGGGGGTACGGGCTGGACAGTGCTGTACTAGCACACGGGGGGAATGGCGAAGATTGGCAGAGGAGGCCGTGATGGCCTGCAGCTTGGGTACAATGGATGTCCCGTGGAGCTCTTTGGTAGGCCTCTGTAGCGTGACAGTGAGGTACGATCCCCGGATCTTGGCTTTCTCAACTTCAGACAGCTCCTTTTTGCCGCTGGGATTGTTCTCCTTTTCCCGTACCATGGTGCGCTCTGTGGCTTGCAGCCGCAGCAACTGCCGCCGTTTGAAGCGTTCATCACGGCTGGCACTGTGGTGGTCGCTGGGGCCAGCCCCAGGTGATGACCGAGTCACCATACCCCGGGGGGAAGCCGGGTCGTGGATGAGCTGTAGCATGGAAGTGGGTGAATGGGGTGGGGGTGTAAGGGGCTCATCGCAGCTCCGCAGGGGCCGCAGGACTTTGGCTTGCACAGCTTCTTCATCACTCTCTTCCATTTTCCGCTTCTGCAAAATGCGCCCAGAAAAGCAACATCAGTGCTTCTTTTTTTTCCAAATCCTCTAAACTGACTGGGTGAGCCTAAAAGAAAATTGGTCACTGCTGCCAGAGGGGCTCATTTCTTCTGAGCCTGTAATTTAGACTTTGCAAAGAAGGGCAACAGAGCTCATGCCTATACCAGAGAAAACTGATTATGGAACAAAAATCAATTTAATAGGTCACTTAGGAAACCCATCTGTGACCAAAAGGATTGTGCTCTAGTAGAGTGAGATCCTAATATGGGCTGCTTGATTCTATACCTCATCCTATCCATTTCTTGCCCCAACTTCTGGCTAATTCCCTGGGAAAAATAGTTATTTATAAAGTCTACCCTTGCATAATCTAACCATTTTAAATCTTGTCTCTCATTCAGCTCTTTCACTCAAGTGATGTTTCTTATTAGTGGTGGAAGAAAAACAGCCCACCTAACATTGGGGTGATGAAGCAGGGGCTGAGAGCAGCAAATGCCACCAACTTTTATACTTTCAGCTCTCCAGCATTTCAGCTTTTTTTTTTTTTTAAAGCATTTCAGCTTTGACTTTTCCAGCTACAGCTTCTATTCCCCACTGATGTGAGAAAGCAGAATGAGAATCTTGGTAAGAAACTGCACCACTGCCAAGGGATCTGCTTAAGATCACAGTGAGGAACTCCACACATAAAGCTACAGCTCCTTCTGTGCTACCTGTGCTCACCAGACAGCTGTCCTTTCCTGGAAACCACTTTGGCTATACTGTGACAAAGCCCAGTCAACTGCCAGAAGGAGCCCTATTAGCAGTTCAAATTTTCCTCAAGGAGATACTTCATGTCCCTAACCAATATTCCCAGGCTGTGTTCCTTTTTCTCCGCATACTTTTTGGTCACATGGTTGGGAGGGAATAATCTTCTAGTTGTTGGCTTTCCCAATATACAGGTATTAGAAAGTGATTGAAACAGCAAGTATCAACCCATGTGCTGCATTAAGGGATGCCAGCCCTCAATACCAGCAGTGAGGACAAATGTAGAAGTCACTAGTCCAAGAATTTGGAATGAGAACTTTAGCACTAGTACATTCACAAAACTCTTGCCATCAAAGACATTTAAACTGTAACTTCAACTACCTCAGTGGCCAAATGGAATAAACAAAAGCTAAGAAACTCCATTATGCCCCCTTCCCTACTCTAGTAGAGGGTCCTTGGAAGACTGACACAAAGCCAGCCGCTGCCTCCTGTATGTGCCCTTAGCAGGCTTTGGCTTGCCAGTCCGAGTAACCAGACTCCTTTTGGACATTAACATTACTAGTGACCAGTGGGCCAGCAATCTCAGCTGTCCTGGCCAAGGTCATGAAGCTGGTCCCCAACCTCTCTAGGGGAGAGACTGCCTTTGAATGACACATCTGAGCATGTGGGGTGGGCAGGTCTTTCAGTGAGGCCTGGGAATGAAGATGACAAAAAATGCAAACCTGCTTAACTGGAAACTCCAGTATGGGACGCCAGTATTTAAGGGTAAACTCGGGCCACTGCCTCCCCTTTAGTTACATTCCTCAGGAGAAAGTCTACATACCTTATTTCCCCCTCAACAGCCCAGCTGTGGTTTCTTTCTTTCTCGTGCCCCACAGTATAAGAGGTCTTAAGGAACTTAAGGATCCCAAGTATTTAGAAATACAAAAACCAAACCAATCCAACAACAACAACAACAAAAAACACACTAAAAACTCAGTAAGTAACCAAAGGAAAAAAAGCTATCAAACAAAACAAAAATAACTTCCCTGAATCAAAGAAACCAAGTGAACACTATTGGAAAGGCAAATGTATTGCAATTTCCCAGGTTGAACACTTCTTTTTTTCCTGTCACAAAAGATGTCAGTGTGGTTTCTTTACCTGGGCTTTCTCCGAGCTGTCCTCCTGGTAACACTTTGGACATTCCCAGCAATTTGGCAATTCCTCATTAAGCAAACCCTCTCCATCCATCTATAGGCAGACATGGATAATAAAAACAAGTTAGTCTCGGGGCCAGGGAGATGGCTCAGTGGAATAAGCGCTTCCTTGGCAAGTGCAAGGGCCTGAGTTCAATCCCTGGTTCCGCCAAAAAAACAAGTTAGTCTCTTCTGCCTTTGTTATATACTAACACATGTGAGAAGCAACTTCCGCAGGGGAAGAAAATGGAGAGCTACCTGGTTTCAGATGACACTAATACCTATTTCCAAAGGTGGAAAACTGGCTATCCTCATTGTGATTACTTATCAAAGCAGGCTACAGGAAATCTTTCAAGCTAAGTGTGGTGGCGCACGTCCGTAATCCCAGTACTCCAGAGGCTGAGGCAGGAGGATTACTGTGAGTTCCAGACCAACCTGGGATACAAAGTGAGTTCAAGGCCAGCCTGAACTGCATGGTGAGACCCTGTCTCAAAAAAAGAAACAAACACACAAACAAACAAAAAACAGAATAAAATCATGTGTATCTTACGGGATTGTGGTAAGAACTAAATCCATTTTGTTTTGAGATAGGGTCTCACTATGTAGATCAGGCCAGCCTCAGTGATCCTGCCACAACCTTCTGAATGCTGGGATTACAGGTGTGCACCACCATGCCCAGCCATATATATATATATATATATATATATATATATCTCAAGGAATCAAGGATATAAAATTATATTTTAGGGAAGGGTCCACAGGTGTTCAGGATCTCACTACTAGATCTGACTTGTAGGGATCTGCCTGTTTACAACCTCTCAAAATCTGTGATTACAGGCACACACCCACCATGCCCAGTCTCAAATGCCACCTGAGTGTGCCCCCGGGCCAGGGCTGCCATAGCAGGCCCAGGGATCAAACCCCCGGCTCCTGCGCCTCCTTGCAGGTGCTTTAATCCACTGGGCTATTTGGCTGGCCCTATTTAAAATTTTTTTGACACAGGGTCTCACTGTGTCATACATGCTAGTCTTCAACTCATTATGTGGCCCAAGCTTCCTTGAGCCCACAAGAGTCCTCCTGCCTGTGCCTCTCAAGTGCTGGGATTATAGATGTGTGCCACCACACACAGCTTCCCTTACTACTTTTTAAAAGCTCAGCTGTGCCCTGAACCTGATACAAACTGAGAACTTCTTCAATGTTAGGTGATAATGTTAAGACTGTTCCATTATGTAACTATGGAGCTGAGGGTTCATAGTACCTAGGGATAGTGGCAGCTTCCTGTGACATGTGTCCTACCTTTCTGTTGCTCTATGAGACTCTCCTCACCTGGAGGCAGCCAGGATGCACAATCTCATTGCAGATACAGCATTCCATGAGTTTCTTCTCAAAGTCCTGTGTCTCTTCATTCTGATCTACTTCTCCACAGAGGGAACATGTGACTGAGTGAGGCAGTCTGGGCTACAAAAGGACAAAGACAGAGACTAAGAGGATACATTTAAATCTTCACCATTTCAGTTTCCTTTTACAGACAAGTGATTTGACTTGTGTAATTCTCTAGTAAATACATAGGAGCACTGAGACAGGTTAGAGATGGGATTCTGACAGAAAAAAATGGGGAAGATCAGGGGACTCAACCACCTGAGAATTGGAAACAAAAGACTCATTCACTTTGAGTTGTCTTGTTCTTAGGCTCACCAGTCCTTCTAGTTCATTTAAAGAAGGGATGGTAGGCAAATGATTTGCCCTTCAAATGCTCATCTTTGGTTTGAAAATTAGGTAAAGCCAAAAGATTATTTTTAGTACTAGACACTTTCTGAATCCAGGGGGAGGACAAAATGAATAAAGTCTAAGAGAGCATAACTTCTCAGATCTGCAATCTGGTTCTATAACACTTGTATTCTAGTCTCTCTGGCACCAGTGCCCCTCCCCCATCACCTTTACCCAGCAAATCACTCACTGCCAAACACTGTCGGAGGACACAGGACTGTTTCATGCGTCCAGGTCCCCCAAACTTCTTCATGTCCCTGCAGTAATGGCAAACACCACACTCTCCTTGCACACAGGCTTTGCATTTCCGACAGCGCACTCTTCTCCGCCGGGCTCCTGATACAATGGGGGAGGCAGCTGCAGGCCTCACAGGTGTTAGCCGGGGAGCTGGCTTCATAGTGTGAGGCTTTGTGATAGGGATGGTTGGAACCCGCACCTTTGGCCGGGCAGGGAATTTAAGCTGGAAAGAGAAAGCAGTGAGGTCAACCATATCAAATTGCTTTAAGACTGCAGAGGGTAGATTACAAGGCAGTATACCTAGCTCAGAGCTCTGCAAACATTATGTCCTGTGGGCAAATCTGCTCATTGCCTGTTTTTATAAATAAATTTTACTAGAACACAGCCATGCTCATGTGTTTATATATTATGAATGGCTGTATTCATGCTACAATGGTAGAACTGAGAGAAGCCATGGGTGTATGGCATACCAAATCTAAAATATTTACTGTCTTGATCTTCAAAGAAAAATCTGCTAGGCCCTATCCTAGCCCTTTGGTCTACTGTGTTAGTTACACCCTTTTCATTTTGCAGAACTGTAAGATTTGTCTATCCCTGAAGATTTCTGGGTAAGTGCCATGTACTCAAGTCACCCCAGGGGCCTTTTATTATTTCCTTATTCTGACTACACAGAACTTGCTCCAAAATAAACAGGATGGCAAACTACTCAAGGGTTAAACTGGTTTCATTTTTTATTTCTCTGAATCCCAGAAAATGAGTACACAGTAGATACTCCAATTAACATTTAAGTATGGAATAGATCTCTCAGCTATGTTTACAATTTAAGCACTTGCATTTACCTTGCTAGTGACCTTTTCAAGGACAAGGAGCACGTCTTTTACTTCTTCAATTTCCTACCATATCTTAAAAGACTTTTCTGACACAAAATATCAACAGCCAAAAATGACTACTGTTCTGTGGCAGTCCTATGTGGCCACGTGGGACTTGCTACTTACGATGGAGTAAGTGGTCCTACTCTATATAACCACCCATGGAATGTGATGGCTTTGCAAACACCAGCTAAGAAACACCACAGAATGGTCTAATTTATCTACAAAAATTATGGCCAGGATCAGACTGCTATCATTTATTTAACAAAACCATGAAAGAGGACAATATAAAAACTCATAGAGAGCATGAACATTCGTAACTGACATTAGCGAATGTGTAATTCTATACCAAAAAGTCCTAATGAGGTATAATCCCAAAAGTGTGATCCCATTATAATAAAGAAAAACTCATTTTTGTATTTCTTTCAATTACTTTTAAGCCATTATCTCTGAAGATAACTGAGCAGGTCAGAAGGATAGGGGCTGATCACTATGGTCAGAAATGTACAACCTGGCATCTGAATCTAGAGGGAGATTTTACAGTTTGAGATTTCCATTCAGACAGTCACCTCCAAAAATAGCCAGTTACCTTGACCTGAGAGGACAAAACTGAGGAATAATTTTCTGTCAGTTTGTATCAAAGTGCCAAAAGCTGTGTAGTTGTTCTTTTCTTCCTGGAATAGTAATAGTTAGCTAGCAAAAGGTTTAAGCAGCTTGAAGATCAAGCAGAAGAGTTTCTTACCTTATCCCTTTTTGGCCACTGTACTATTGGGACTCCAGTGAGGGCTAACTTGGGATCACTACTGGCAAGTTCCTCCAGCAAAATCTAAAGGTAGGATGAGAGAGAAGGAAAAAGCAAGGCATGATGAACACCGTGCCAACTACTTCCAGCAGTAGCCAACCACTCAGACTCAGTGCCCTCAAAAACTCCAAGGGATAGAACAGGCTAGCAACTGTCTTCAGACTTTAAAATGAGGAAATCAAAGATGAAAGAAAAAACTCAGACTACTACAGTACTATTAAGACTTCAAACTTACCTTTGTACCCAACTCTTTTACTTGTGTACTCAAGCTAACATTTACATTAAAGCAACTAGATACTGTGGCAACAAAGTGTTACTTATCATGTAGTTCTATATATGACAGTAAACTTTATATTGTTTCTTCAAATGTTGACTGCATTTTGCAGACTGGAGCAACACTGCAACAAAGTGACTAGCTAACACTGAATAAGGTAAGTAGCAGAGTTTTAATATTCTGATTTGACATACAATTTTGTTCATCTAAGGCTGTTACAGAATCTCAATCTCTCAAACACACACATACACACAGTCAGCTATTTGCCTTTATTTCTACTAGTGGAGCAGGTACAGTCTTAGTGGTGAGGGCAATACTTCTTATGACTTTAATCGATCAAATTTCAGTGACTCAGAAACAATGCTACAGTAAGAAACTGCCATTTAAGTTAATCACACTGGCTGCTATTCTGTGACAAACCTTTCACGTTTTCCACAGAAATTTACAAAGCTTAAACCTTCTAGAAGAATGAAAGTCCCCTTTCTCTGATCTTAGGAGCCCTAAAACACACAGGAAAAATAAAAAAAAAAAAAAGCAAATTTGGGGACAAGTTATACTTGGCTTACGTGTATAGGGTAGAAACTGTTTCAAAGACTAAACTTTGACCTAGACAGGTTGGCATGACTGGGGCTTCTTCAGGGCTTTTAATTATTTTTATTCTTAAGGATCACTGTTCAAAATCCCAGAGCTGGACTGAAAATACCTTTTAACATCCCAAGAAGCTCTCCTAGTTTCTAGATGCCTCACACCTTCCCCCAAACTGATCTCATCTGCAGTCGTTTTATTTACTTCAAGTTGCTATGGCATCCTATTCTGGAGCCTCCTTTTAGCACCACACTGTGTAGGGGTGACGAGGCGGGGTGTGGTGCCATGTGGGACAAGGCTCTAGTCAGGGTTTCTAATAACCCCAGGATGAAAAATTTGGGTTCATTTAAAATATGCACTAGGGAGTGCACTGCTCCCCTCCCCCCCTTCACACTGCTGAAGAGTAGGACTCTGCCCATTTCCTTTGCCAGAGAACTAAGCTGTCCACAAACAGGGACTTTCCACTTTTAGTAAAAGAAACTGCATCAAAAGATCTGCAGCTCTTTAAAAGAGTAGAAAAGGAACTTAACTTCATCAAATGCAGTCTAATTCTACCTGTATGACTTTTGTGGGTGCCACAGGGAAAGGTAGGTGGAGAAACTGTGTTGGTGGTGTGTGCGTGTGGGGGGCAGCTGTTCACACATACATGGCTGTTACTGGGGTATGTGTGGGTGTGGAGGGAAATGCAGATTTCCTTCCAAGCCTTATTTCTTAATTCGCTAGGGCCATTCAAGCAAGCACGCCCTGCTTTCATCAAAAAAGGCAGACTCCAGCTGAGGCCCTACAAGAAACCATATAAAGAAGCCACCACCCCTCACCAGAGGGGCTTGGGATAGGGAAGCGGGGGTGGAGTGCGGAAAGGCTGCCGCCTATCTAGGCTCCAGGCATTCAGGAGAACATTCAAATATAGGCCCACACCCCACAGATCAGAGGAAGAGAAAGAGAGCGTAAGGGTCCGGGCAGAAGTGGAAAATCATTCCCAAAAGCAAAGCGATTCAGTTCCAAAGCATATCCCACCAGTGAGGGAACAAGTGCAACGATGGCTCAGCAACACCAAGTAACATAAGCATTGTCCTGGACTTGCCTGTCAGGCAGCTCTTCTGCCTCTTTGCTGAGACAAAGTCCCTACAGTAATACACACCCCAAACCAGAATGGGTTTGCCAACTGATCGATCGCCTGACCTTGCGTTTCTTGTCGCTCTGGAGCTGCCGAGGCTCTTGGGTGAAGTTTCCCCACCGTCTTTGTTTTGTTTTCTGTGTTGGAAGTTGTGCGGAAGAAGTTTGGTTTTCTGCCTTTAGGAAAATCCCGATTTACTCGAAAATTCTGAAATCTCCCAGAGCACATAAGGCAGGGCAGTCGGCTCTAACCCTTCAGGCTACCCAGAGAGCGCAGCGTGCAGTGCTCTAAGCTCCTTCTCGAGCCCTTCAGCTCAGTCGTGGCTTCCTGTGCCTGTGAACAATGCTGCTGCGTCACCCACATGCAGCTCCCAGAAATGCTTTGCAACGGAAGATGGCAGGAGGGGGAGCTGAGCTCGAGTGAGCTAGCCAGGCAGAGGGCCCGGCCGTTCTGCTGCAGAGCTGGGAGAGGGTGTGTTCAGTCGCAGCTCTTCTCCTCAGTCATTGGAGGAGGCACTGCCGGGAGGGAGTTTGGTCCGCCCTGTCTCCCTCCCTCTACCACCGCTACAGGAGAACTCAGGGCCAGCCCCTAAGGGCTCCGGGTGGTGGCTGACTTCAGAAGGCGCCAGCAGAAGGGAAAGCTTTAACCCATTCTGCTTAGGCAGCATGGCCCACATTTGTCCTTGTCTCAGTCTACAACCTTCTCCTCAGGGTCACTTCTTTTTTTTTTGTCTTTCTAAGACAGAGTCCTGCTATGCAGTTCAGGCTGGCCTTGCTTTCACTTAGTAGGATCCTTCTGCCCCAGCCTCCTGAGTTGCTGGGAATTATAGACAAGCGCCCCCACTACCCCCGCGCGCACACACACGCACGCGCACACAAACACGCACATGCACACACAATCTCTCTTCTCAGCAGACACCTGGGACCACCTCAAGTCTAGCCACTGAAAGAGAACCAAGAAGCAGCTCCTCCCAAATTATCTGACTTTCACACTGTCTGCTTGCTTTACCTGCTCTGGATCATGTGGCCTCCAGTCCCTGATCCAGAACTAGCATGTTTTTCCAGAAATAAACACGTTCAGAAATAACACATTCCAGCCAATATCAAGAATACACAAGGGGGCCAGCCAGATAGCTCAGTGGATTAAAGCACCTGCATAGGCAGACGCCCAGGTCGAGGCTGATTCCTGCAGGCTGGCCCAGCCCCTGGGGTACACTGAGATGAGGAATGAGACTGGGCGTGGTGGTGCGTGCCTGTAATCCCAGAGCTTGGGAAGCTGAAAACAGGAGAATCACTACAAGTCGGACTCGTGTAGTGAGACCCTGTAGACCCTGCACTAAATAAATAAATAAGAATACTCAATATGGCAGCTTCCCATCAACTACATTTCCAACATATGCCTGTTTCTTGTTCCCACTAGAAACCAGCAACATTCTAGAAATGTCTATGCAGCAATCTATTAGCAGCTCCATCATGATCAAATCAAACAAATGAGGTACAATTTAAGATGAAAGAACTTTGCCCTCCTGATTCTAACCAAGGCCCAGGAACTTTAGGAACTGGCTTCCTCCCAACTCCATCAACCTCCTTGGCCCATCAGAATGCTTCATGCTCAGGATATCACTCCCAGAATATGGTTTTGCTGTATTGAGGTGTGAACCTGGGCCTCCCAAACTCTAGGCAAGTGCTCTATCACTGAGCAACACCACAGTCTCTACCTCATTTCTGATAGTCCCGCAAAGGCAACAGCCAGCCCTGTATGCTATTAAATACCTCAGGACCATTTGTTGGCAGCCATTTAACCAACATATGTTGCCTACATCTACACACATTCAGGTCCTGGACAGGGTGAAGTTCCGACCAATCATACTCTTTGGGCTATCCGAGAAAGGAAAGGCTGAGTTTCCAGAGATCTATGTGCATTGTGTATCAGCATGAGGACAAGCTGGGCAGGAACAGAAGCCTATAGAGCAGCAGCTCAGATCGACTTTTAAGTAATTTTCAGATCCTCACAAATGTAAAACTTGGCTTTTTGTGAAACTACTCATACTTCTTTGACATAAACATCTAACAAACAGCTATCACTACTGAAGTCTCTTATTTCCAGTATAGCAGTTCCAGTAAGTTCCTAGGATAGATTCAGTGGTTTAACAGGCTTTCTGAGGTCTCTGGCTTTGCCACCATGTGTCTGTATTTTTGTCCACATAATTTCTTTTTTTAAACTAGGTCAAATGGAATTCTTATTTTTATTTTTTTGAAGAGTCTCCATACAGTTTTCCTTAGTAGTTGTACTACCTTATATTCCTACCAACAATGTAGAATGGTTCCTTTCCTTCCACAGCCCCTCCAGCATTGCTATTGTTTGATTTCTTCATGATGGCTATTCTTTCTGGATAAGATGGAATCTCTGTGGGTTGTTTTGTCGTTTGAGACTGGGTCTTGCTTTATAGTTTAGGATGGCCTTGGACGTACTATGTAATGCCCAGGCTGGCCTTGAACTTGCAGTGATCTTCCTACCTCAGCTTCCCAAGTGCTGGGATTACAAGTGTGTACCACTATGCCCAGACAGAATCTCAGTGTTCAGAATTTCATTTTTCATGAAAAGAGTCACAAAATGAGAAAGTCTAATTAAAAACAAAATACTGTGACTCCCATGATCCTGCTGTGTAAACACACACACAAAAACACACCCCCTCTTTCCTTTTTTTCTTATTCCCGCTCCACCTTGTTTTCCTCCCCCCTCCCCGCCTTTTTTTGTGGTACTAGAGATTAAACATAACACATTCACAATGACATGCATCCCCCCCCCCCCCCGCCTTTGAGACAGGGTGTCACTAAGTTGCCCAAGCTAGGCTTGAACTTAGAAGTCTCCTGCCTCAGGCTCACAAGGTACTGGGATTACAAGCATACACCACCTGGCCTGGCTCCTCCCTTTCTGGCTAGCATCAAACTCCTGGGCTCCAGCAGAAATGTCTCTAGCCTTGACCTCTACATACCAGCTGGGACTATCTATAGGCCCGCGCTATAGGTTTGCATGTTATTTACCAAA